AAACCCTAAACCCTAAACGGTTGAGATGCTCCATCTCTTCTTCTCTCCGAAGGACCCCTACGAAAGGCTAATCGGCTAATTTGCTGTTGGGCTCAGAATTTTCTTCAACTGATCCTGTTGGGCTCAAGGTTTAGAGTTTAGGGCTGAGGGTTATCGGGTTTAAGGTTGTGAGTAGCTATCAGTGGGATCCTCAGTGGACCTGCTGCTGGCTGCTACCTCTGCCCCAGCAATCCTGACACTTATGGCCATACCACCTTCAAGCACCCAACATACTACAAAGCCCAAGGTAAAGCACATGTAAGAAGGTGCGAGGTTTCGTTCATGCCACTAAGAACTCCATACGTTACGTAAACCCCCCCCCGTAATAGTGACTATAAGGGATACTAAGGATTATATTGGGGGTCCTCTTATATTCCTATTTTACCACGATTACAGGGTGGGGGGTCCTCCTAACCTATACATTACCCAAAAAGATTCTGAGGGGTAGTCTCCAAGGTCAGCAACCCCTCACCCTAAACCCTAAACCCTAAACTTTCAAAGGATTGGCAGCCCGCTTCAGTCTGTGCACTGATGCGTGGCACGTTTTGGTGTAATATGAGCCATCGTCTAAACTCCTTAAAGGGGGTTAAATGGGGAATTTTATAGGGGACTGCTGTCGAGGTTATTCAGGGGGATACTAGGAGTTTAGACTATGGCTCATATAGAAGCATGAAAAATACAAATTTGGCGCTTGTGTAGTTGTGGCAAAGGGTATCCAAGGTAGATCTCAAAATGGTATTGGCAGCTTATTTAGGACCCTACATTATTTACAGGTCAGCACAGGTGAGCACTTCAAGTTTCAGGCTTTCTCAAAACAAGGGGGCCCAGAAACCCAGGCGATATGCAGGTGTTGCAACAGTGTCGCTCTAGACATAGTTGGATTACACAGGAACTGTAAGGGTCCCCTTAGAGGTGGGTGGTTTAGGGATAAGTTTGCGAAACTCCCATATACGAATTACGTAAGGATTACGGGGGCTCCTACTAGGGACTACAGGGTGGTCGGGGACACAACCAAACTGGCTGCGCAATTTGACTTACTGATTGATTGCTAGTAGCTGTTGAGACGTGGTACCCTACCAATCCAATTCCTCCAGCTGATGGTTTCGGAGAATACGCCAAGGGGAAAAGAGCCTAATTACTCGCCCCTAGAATAAAACCATATCCCACAGACATGGATACGCAATTGAGCAGGTGAACCTTACGAATACAGCATCCATCACACCGGTGGCTGAACCCCTGCTGCAGAAGCGTGAAAGACTGGGCATCTTACAATATAGTACACCTCCCTATCTTTTTACATGTATTTTAGATCTCTACAGTGCCCCACAATACTTCAGGCCAGCGAACACTTGCAAAGATCCTAAGGTAACCTCACCAACTCGCATTTTCTCGTGCGCTCCAGTGCCCCTCTTGCATGAATTCATGGGCATGCTTTGGGCAAGGCCCGTCCATCAAGGAGGGGCGCCCATGCTACAAAAGCACCCCACAGAGTGGATCTCCATGGGTGCAGGGGACCTGGGGGTTCATGAAATTGGGCCCCCCTATGGGGGTACTCCAAACAAAAGCATCTCTTCAGTCTCTGGTAGGGAAGCCATCTAGTGAACCCACACGAATTCGCTCGCACAAGCTGATCAAGGACCCAGAGCACCAGCTATCTGGAGCTCCAGAATCCCACCCGCTGATTTCTTCCTTGCTATTTCTTTGGACTGTAGATGGCAAAGATCAACTCCAAACGAGCGCACACATCTGTCAAAATGTCTGTCTCTCCAGACACTAAAAAGCTAATGCTCACGTTCGGACCAGGAACGGCCTGTTTCCTCTGTCCAACTTGCTTAGTCAGGCCACTACTGGGCCGCACGCGAGCTGGAATGTTTTGTGACCCTGTGTCACTACAGAAGAAACAAAGGAAGCACTTTGGCAAGTACATATTCGCAGGCATATCTACGAGGGTGGCAGGGAACCCAGCAACGTGCTTTAAACTGCGGTCGCATCTTGCGAAAACGGCCACGCATGACAGGGTTCTCAGGCCTGGCAGTGCGTAATCGAGTTCGAGAATTTCGAGAATCTGGGCTTTCAGCCCCAAAAGAAGGCTACCTTCTCTTGGTCGCTTTTGGTCTTCTTTGGGACCAATCTATACGTGCACGGCCTCGAGCCGTCGATCCACCTTGTCTTGGTAAGTAGATCCGATCTCTCCGTACCGGAAGTTGTAGTATTTCACCCACGCCTTCTTGTGCTTGGGTCGCACCTGCACAGGTCGTGATACAAGGACATCTCTTATGCCTACGGTGATCCCCGAGTTTGGGGCGTGGGGTTTAGGTAGCTGCAGAAAGTACGTACAAGAATTGCATCAAAAAGGAGAAGCCACATGGTAGCATGCCCAAACAACCTCAGGCTTGAAACCTTGGACCCAGAGCAAGCACAGTGCAACAAATATTGCCACCGACCTGCCTCAGTTTTGAACAAACTTGGGCTTCAAGTTTGGCTGTTCGGCGCTCAGGGAAGGGGAGCTGTATCCTCAAACAACGAAGCCCCCTTTATAGCAAAAGATTCCATGTGAGGACCCTTGATAAAACAAAATCCTATCCCCTAGTCGTAGCCTGACCAACCAGATGTCATCCTTAGTATGTACCTGGCCCCCCACAGATCATGATTGCAGCTGTACTATGCACATGTTCTTGGAGTTCACCTGGCTGCCTCCCGCAAGAAAAGGCCGGGTGATGTGCCTTCAAAGTACCACTTAAACCTTGGGGGTATTTCCCCTTACAGCAACAATCCTCATATGGGTCCTTGTTAAGGGGCTAGTATAACTCCTAGTGGCGACAGTAGCTATAAAGGGGGAAAGGCCCAACTAAGCCTCCTACGAACACAACTCGAGATGCCTCTTGCATACAGCCCTCTACCCCGAATCATCAAGAATAAGGAGGTTTCCAACAAAAAATAGCAGATTGGGGTCCCCGTATTTTGAGAAACTCCTGACCCTAAACCCTATATTGGGATCCATATTCAATTCCCCCCGATTTCGAGAAACTCCCATCGTCAGGAGAGCACAGAACCAGTCCTGTCATCAAGGTGTCTGATGTCTGCCTACCGTTGTCCTACTTCAACTAACATGGTTTAGAGCATAGAGTTCAGGGTTGTTTTTTTTAGCGTTCGGCGTGCCCTGAGGCATATGTGGTTGTATGGAGTAGGATCAAAACCCTTCTGGTTGCTCCCACTACAAGAAAGGGATTCAGGGTAGGATCCCATATACCCCGAAACCTGTCATGATCCTTCAGATGGCATCCCTAATTTTGGGGAAACCTTTGACCCTAACTCCCAAATCCTATATATAACCCCTAAACATCCCTATATAAAACCAATATGTCCCCTCTAGGCCCTTTTTAAGGGACCCATGCAGGAATTCTTTGGCCCCCACTACCTGGTACCCCACTACTATTGAGGCCAAATTCCTCCTTTATTTGAGTCTCAACGAACCTTGGGAAACCCTAAACCCTAATCCCTAAACCCTATATAAACCCAGAAATCCCTGTATAAAACGCATAAATCCCCTATGACCCCTTTAAAAGGGATCCATATGACCCTAAACCCTACACCCTCAACCCTAAACCCTACCCCCCAA